TCATACCAGGCCCGGACGCTATCGACTTGGCCACGACGGAACGATACAGAGTAGATCTTTCGGTGGCATCCACATCGCAGCTGTGACTGACGCCCGAAGACACTTGGCCAGCAGAGCAGGAAAAATGATCGCGGACGGGATTCGAACTACCGACCTTCCCCAAGATCTCCCAACCATTACGCTTTAACACGCTCGGCTACCAGCTTGCTCCTCCGGGGACGAGATCTGAGCTCGGTCCTGGCAAACGGGAGACAAAAGGCGACAAAGAAAAAATTTGCCCCGGCCGGGAGCCAGGTTAGCCTTAGTTAGGTAGCCAACCCACCCATAGTTAGAGAGACCAGCTCTTAAAACTCAAGTTTCTGTGAACGGGGGTGGTTTCCGACAGAAGCAAAGGTAGTTTTGTTGTCACTGGTTCACCCCTATCTATTGTAGTACTCTTCCGTCAAAAACCGGACCCATGCCTTTGTAAATTTTGCCAAAAGTGAAAAATTTCAAAATCGCTGGAAATGGTTGGGCTCGTCCTTTCATTCTCTGCGTCGAAGTTTCACGCCGCCAGTCCATTTCAAGTGAGTTACGCCTGTTTTTCTTCGACCGGTTCGCCTTCGAGGTAGGCAGCCCATCGTACGCTGTCCGCCAGATTCAAAAGACCACCATCAAAACGAAAGTTTCTGTGGAGAGGGGTGGTTTTTGACGGAACCAAGAGCAGTTTTGTGGTTCCCTGGGTCACCCCTGTCGATTCGACTACTTTTCCGTCCACATACTGACCCATCAATTTTCACTAAAAGAATAAACGGTATTTGCCTTTGTAAATTTGGCCAAAAATGAAAAGAATGAAAATCGCTGGAAATAGTTGGGATTGGTCAGACTGAATCCTCTTTCAATCTCTGCGTTGAAGTTTCACGCCGCCGGGCCATTTTAAGAGAGATACACGCCTGTTTTTGGACCGGTTCGCCTGCGAGGTAGACAGCCCATCGTACGTCGACCGCCAGATTCAAAAGACCACCCTGAAAACTCAAGTTTCTCTGGACAGGGGTGGTTTCTGACGTAACCAAAGGTAGTTTTGTGGTCCCCTGGGTAAAGAAGAAATTTATTCTTTGGCACAAAATGAATTTTGTGTCCTCCGTCTCCCTTGTTTTAGTCTCTTTTAAAAAGCCTACAGTAGCAGATTGCCATCTCTGCGCCCAATCGACAAGAAGTTACAGTCCGATTTCGTTTTGAAATTGTTGCCCTATTTTGTTTGTGCAAATTCTAAGACTGAGTCATAAAAGTTGTGTATGAAAGCCAACTAGGTCAAAGAAAAAAGGTGGTGCATATTTTCTCTTTTGGTTTTTTAAAAACGGTTTATTTTCTTTAACGTTTTTTACTTAGTTGTGATTTTGCCATCCAATAAAATTTAAAAATTGCCACTGTCACATTATTTTACAACAGGAAGCCCAAACTATACAGTTGGATTGAAATAATCAAAATAAAAAGCTAAACTAGACCAACAGTTTGCTTGTAAATTTGTTTTTTTTTAAAGGACATGAACAACAAGGAATGGTACCGTAATATGATCACATTATTTACAATATATTTACACAGATAACATCATTTGAATCTAATCTAAATAAGAAAATCTCTACCTAAATTATTTTATATTTCAGCCCTATAAGTACTGGAGGAATTGTTATCAATCAGTGCCTTCAATGGTAATACTGATCTAGGATATGACAGCTGGTATTCAGTGCAATTTCATGTGCAATCAGGGCACAAAAGACCTTTAAAGGTGCAACCTGAAAGTAACCTGAAAATACAAATTCACTGTTGTTGTATGTGTGAACAACAGTGAGATAATTTTTCTCAGTACAAAAAGATCATCTTCATACTGACATTTACAGATCTGATCTGATATTGAATCTTCTCTCGTTAGCAAATTCATAAAATCAAGACATTACATGCTGCACAGCTGTACACTGTAAAATTTTATAACTTGAAAGTCTTGACAACTTTTTTATTTCATTTGACTGATTGTACTTGATATGGAAACTGATATGGTGGTTACTGCACTGATATTGTTTGGTGTATGGAATGTTATACAAAAAGTTGGATACGGAAATTATTTCCTAGTTGAGATAAATATGTACAGCATATGGAAAGAAGTAAGCAACACTTCAGCTTAAACATGTGAAAACATTGTACATAACAATAACAGAGAGGGAAACAAACAAAAAATAAATTGTATGTAACTAGTTAGCATTGGCATATTCTCAAGTGAAACAAAACAAAGCAAAATGATATGGATGGAAACTGATATGGCAAGTTTTGGCAAAATTATTATCACAACCAAGGAGACTCACTAGGGATCGTATGTACAAGAACCAAAGAGGATGAAATGCAACATAAGTAAAATGAGACAATACTCCACCAATATATAAAAGATGAAATCTTCCTCATATATAAAATGCATTAATACACAAGAGCATACCAAATGTATGCTTAGTACTAAATAAAAAAAACAATGGTTTCAAAGATAACAAAACAAGCTTAACAATTGAGGAAAAATAATCACATTTCAATGACATTATCGGCCACTTGCTGATGTATACACAATGGCAGATTTATAAAATGTAGGAAAATGCAATGCACATTCATTGCTTTATTTGTTATAGAGCAGAATTCAAGTCTCTGCCTTACAAATAGAAAACAGCTTCTATTCAAAAGAAAAAAAAATATAGTAAATTATAATACTAGAATAGAATAGGCATTGTTCCTGACGCCAGACTTTTTAAAGGGATTCTCCTCTATTAATAAAAAAGATACATCTTTTCAGGTATAAATTTTGTATGAATCCTCGATTTGGGTTACTAACTTAAAAGAAAAGTTGCACCGTAATATTTGAGTAAATCGACTGTGGAAATAAAAGAGGTAAATCTTAGAAAACTAAAAAAAAACAAAAAAAAACAGCGAGGATTACAAAATTGAAAAAATTTCAGAATCTTCTCACTGCACAATCAAGTACGGAATGGTATTTGAAAGTTGTATAGAGCTAATTTCTTTGAATCTACTGGATCATAAGTAGAGAGCATCTCTCATACCACAATCAACCTAACAAAAACAAAAACAAAAAAATGCACTTTAAGTCTAAAATGAGCAAATATTGATGTGTTTAGACATGACTCTTAGACCAATATAACATTCACTTCATACATTCATACATGCAAACAGAAGATAACACCCACTGGCACACATTTACTTGATCACTCTGATATGATTCATCTAGATAGAACGAAAATTCACTCTTCCCACACACAAGGTAAAACATGAAAATAAAAACCCAGTCATTATAAAAACAGTAATCTGATTTACTGACTAAATTTATGATAGCAGACTGTCACTTACACTCAAATTTCTCTAGGCCTGAGTTTGTTTTATTATTCTCTTCAAGTTGCCAAAAGTAAACAAGCACACACAGTCACTTATAATTCCAAAACTTTGTTTGGTCCATACAAATTACTACACTGCTCATATCATCAAAATGATCAAAATCATAATCACATTGAAATTTCTTATATTTTGAAAACTAGCAGTGGCTGACATAAGTTTAATCAGTCCAAATAATGTCACTTGAACGGTAACTGTTGTGATGCACTGAACTCGTAACTTCCGCTTACTTTGACTGAAAGCTTCTATGCTTCATTGATGCACCATCACTTGCCTTGCTATTTAAAAAGTTTCTGGAAGTGATCTTAGAGATGTAAGATGCCACTAATTAACACTTACTTCTTCACTCACTCACTCACTCACAAAAAAAATTAATAAAAATGGCACAATTAGATAACTTTGATGAGTTTAATATTTTTATAGTTTACTGGAATCATAGTTTTCAAATTTCCATCGTTGATGCAGACTTGATGAATTACATTCTTCCATCACAAGTCTTTGTTTGCTCTCTGTGATAGCCAAACACTTTTTACTACTCCCATGTTGTAACAGCATTGTCTGTAAAAGAGGATATGTTCACAAAAGTTATAATATGAAAACCGACATAAAAATTAAGATCATTAGCTGATACATACATCTGGATGATACTGCCAGTATTGATTACCCTTTGAGCCATGGCAAGGGTACAGTATGACATCCTGTCCAGAATAATCCAGACAAGCTTCATCTCTTCGAACCTCTCCTGTTTTACTGAGCATCCAGTACTGAAATACAGAAGGAAAAAGTTAACACATAGTACAAATTTTCAGTAAATTTGAGATTTACTTATGATTGTCTAGTTATTATTTTATATTTTTCATTATATGAGATATTTGGATTTACATGGACCAGACAACATCATGCAAAACAACAACATGATATAGGGACATTTTAATTTTCCTTATAACTTTGTAACACAATAGCACAAGTCACAGCTGATGTCCATTTACCATGTTAACAGAGTGCTAAGTCACATAAACACTTCACATGTGAACACCAACACCAAAACATTTCCAGTTAACCACAAGGACTGTTTTAACTTCAACTGACAGGGAAAAGGGAGAAGGAAGAGCACCACACTATAAAGTTGCTTCCCCTTTTTTTTTGTTTTTTTATAGCTAACTATACAATATCTGGTTAGCAGAAAAAAAGCTTAGTTACTGACTGACAATTTAAATACCCAAGATTTAAAAAAAACAATAAAGAAATAATTAAAATCCCCCCCGGCCTATGGTATGTTGTGTTTTTACCAACACAAGTTCATTAAGAGGTATGATTCTTATAGACACACAATTGAGATTGTGGATAAATAGAGCCAAGAGAGGGGTTGGTGGTAAGCTTATTACATGATGCACAGGTTTCCAAGGTAATAAATGTTGGGGTTAGAAAAAAGAATATGGCCATAATAGAAAGCCAAAGTGACAGAAAGCATAAGGGTTCAATTTCGTCATTGAGAGGAGATACAAGAAGCAGCCAGCTTACCGGTCCCGCCACGACCCAGTGAGAATAAGACAGCTGTTCATAAAATTAAACTGTGGCTGGCAGACACGGTTACCTGATTTCCCCCTTCCATGTGGCATTGCCACACACCCAAGGGCTTGTGATATTCCTCCTCAGACGCCTCGGAGTCTAGGCACATTCCGGAATCCCCATTTCTTACCTGAACGTCATAAAACAAGGACTGTGCATCAGGTTTGAAAGTTTAACTTGAAAGTGAAGCTAATTCGGTTTGCAGTATAATGATGGTGCTGCTTCCAATGCTGTCAAGGAAGGAAGGAGAGGTCTGTAGCTAAGACCAGCAGTCTGCACAGAACAGGGCTGAGAAAATTAATAGTGGGGTAGGGAGAGGGATAATAGTCCTTGGTCAATGGTCATGCTGATTTGCTGGTGCTTGCCCACATGCAAGTGTGAAGTAGTGCTGCACGATGCCTGCTGCATGCCAAATATCGCCTGGTCGCTGCTGTCAACTGCAAACAAACCTGATTGCCCCCCTGTCCATGACAAGGATAAAGCCCTGCTGCTTTGTGAAGATCATTCTTCCGAGCTGGAGAATCCAGGCAGGTTTTCCCACCAAAGCCCATGTTGCGTACCTAATTTTTTTTCAATTAAACAGTATTAAACATAGACACTTGAAAAGGTTAAGACAAAGTTGTTTTCGGGAAATTAGTATTTTTGAGCAGTACAAGAAATAAAATATAGAACTGTCATAACAAAACTGAAAGCAAGTTTGTTTCCATAATTTTTGGCTTACCTCCCCAGAAGCAACAGCTTCGCCAGGGACAAAAAGTTCAGGATAGATGTTATCTAAGTACCACTTGAAAGACTTGCATCCAAGTCTGTTACGTAGATCTCTTCTCATAGTAACATCACCATAGTCACCCTAAAATGGAGAACATTAAAAACATGTATCAAGATGTGTCTTTTAATGTTATTTAAAATTTGGACCATGAGTATATAAACAAAATAAAAATCAGCTTACTAAATCTTTTCCAATCCTCTGGTAGTAGTACTTTGCATAGTCATCCATCCACACTTCGGCAAGACGTATTGAGTTCCTCTTCAGGACATTGACACCTGATCTCCATTTGTAGGGGGATCGCTTTCTAAATATATGCCCAACATGTGAACAAGGTACTATTTCTAAGGTTCCACCACACATCCAAGTCTAAAGTTTAAAAAACAAAGAGATGTTTTACAAAATGTTTACAAGGATAGAAAATGACAAGAAGACAGACGCGATGAAAGTGTTTTCACAAACGATTAACTTACCTTAAACGACAGCTCCAAATTCTCTCCTCCCCAAATGTCAAAGCCACTATCGTAGGTGCCCAGGAGCTCGAAGAAGCTCTTGTCTATGCTGAAGAGCCCTCCCGCCATGGTCGGGCTCCACACGGGCTCGGCCGAGTTCTGGTGGCGCTTGCGCTCCCGCTCGGGGACGGCGTGCCAGTTGAACTGCAGATTCCAATCGAAACCGCCGACAGACACGCCGTCCGAGTCGCGCCAGTGGAACTCCAGGGTCGTGTCGTCAATGACGTCGATCACCGGGCACACGACGGTCGTCTTGTTGCGGGCGATCCGGTCCAGCAGGGGCTCGAGCCAGCCTGGGGGAAACAGAGGAGAAAATAAACATTTGCTCTAGCTGTAGGGTAGGTGGTTTCCGAACAAAGTGGCGCGAGGAAAAGCTGCGCGTCCAACGCTCCCCTGCACTTTGGGCGCTCTGGGCGGGCCACCGCCTTCACACAGCTGCTTGGCGGGTCGGCCTACCCAGTGCGTTGCAGGCGCGCCTTCATCCCCAGTAAGTAGACTCACCCTCGGCGCACTCGCAGTGCGAGTCCAGGTAGGTGAGCACGGGCGCGGTCGCGTACCTCGCGCCCATCAGCCTGGCGCGGATGAGCCCCTCTCGCTTGGCCGCCCTGATGATGCGCACCTTGGGGTAGTTTGCGAAGTACTCCTCCAACTGCAGTTTGAGGTGGGCTGCGGGAGAGAAAGCGCGGGAAACATTTTATAAGGCTGCCGCTTGCGGGGAGCCGCAACCGGCCCCGAGTCGCACCGCCGCCGACGACCACATCCAAGGGGTACTTCACTCTAAGTTCAAGCGGACATCGATTCTGTTCTATCCGTTTTTTCCATGGTTTTTTTTTCTGATTTTTTAATTCCTGCTATTTAAAAATATATTTTCCCTTGACTTTTTCTGTTTTTTTTCTTCTTTCCGATTCCCTTCTTTTGCAGGGTGTACGTATACTAATTGTTTTGAGTGAAGTACCCCTCGCCCGCACTCCTATACTCACGCATGTCGGAGAAGTCGTCCACCAGGATGATCTCCTTGATGAGGCTGGGCGGCGACCGGTCCAGCACCGAGTGCACGGTGCGCAGCAGCACGGACCACGCCTCGTTGTGGAAGCAGATGATGACGGCCGTCTGGGGCAGGTTCTCCCGGTACCGGCCGGGCTCCTTGCACCAGTGGTCCCGGGGGTCGGGCAGCTTCCGGTGCACCGAGATGAGGTCCGAGACGTACTGGTTGAAGGCGTTCTTGGCCCAGCCCTCGTCGACCAGCTTCTTGACGTCGGCCGTCAGGTTGCCGAGCACCACGGGCTTGCCCATCTCGCCGTACAGCTCCTCCTTCTTGGACGCGTCCAGCTCCTCGGGGCCCTTGGGGGGCGCCAGCACTCCCCCGCCGTTCTCCGGGCCGTCAGGAGCCTAGAAAGACGCGGCATTAGTCAGAGCAGCACTCCGGAAGCACACACGGGCCTACAAAAATAGGGCAAACTTACCCCTCTGGGTGGCGCCGCAGGGCTCTCGCGCCTGTGCGTCCGCGAGGCAACGAAGGGCTGCGCGGCGGGGACGTCGTCGCTCAGGAAGTTGTTGTCCAGGGCCACGCCGCCGAGCTCCAGCGACGAGACGTCCGCGCCGCCGTTGAGGGTGTCGGCGCGCTGCTCGGCGCTCAGCAGGAAGGCCACCGTCAGCCACACGGCCGCCAGCAGCACGGCCAGCTTGAGCACGAGCGAGCGGCGCGGCAGCAGGCGTGGCAGTACGCGGGGCCCCATGGCGACGACGACGACGACGCGGTGGTGTCAGACAGAGCCGCCCTCCCCTCCGTCAGCTCGGGCCGGCCAGGGCCTCGCGGCAGGTCGTGGAGGCCGTGCGGGCGGACGGGC